AATCGCTATGATTAATAGCGTGTATTATAAAAGCTGTTAAGTTTAAAGTGATGAGAAACGTACTGATTGGGGAACTTTTGTGTACTAAAAGTTTGAATCGAGGAAGATAAACTGGTTTAATCAAGAAAAGACTTGTATCGCTGAAGATCTTCGGAAAGAATTTCTACCGGAAACAAACAAACAAGCAGATACGTAACAATATTATAGAAATTTGCTGACTAGTGAAATTGCCAAGTGCAGTTGATTCATTATCATCTATGTACAAGGAGTTTCGAAATTATTAAATCCGTAAATGGTCAAACAGCCCTATTTAAATGTTTCTGTAATTCTATGGCATTAGAAAAGTATTTTACATACTAAAACTGGTTTATGAAGTTTGGATGTTGAAAGAAGACAAAATTTAATTCTTAGTTACCTTCCAGTTAGAAAACCGGGATGCATCATATCAAGAGTGAATAGTCTAATGTCACTCTGTAACGTATATATATATAGCTTGTGTTGCTGCCTGGTGAGTGTTATATGTAACGTCTTCAAAACATCCCCAAGAAAATGTGATACTTGTCTATGACAATAACACACTTACCCTTTGAAATATATCTTACCATATTCACATTTTCCTTTGTGCAACTTTTCACCACAAATGTTTTCAAGCATATGTTTAAACTAATGAAATCCATTTCCACAACTGTGTGGACAAAGAATTTCTGGCTTGTCTGAAAATTGGGATTTTTCTTCACAGTACATAGTTTTATCTTGCTGTTGCACTTGATATGATTATTTGTTCTAGAGGAAGGAATTTCTCCCCATCTCTTGGAAATTTTTTCAAAATGTAATTCCACAAGCTACACTTGCTTTGTAGAACTCGTGAAAAAAAGTAAGTTTGCCTACAGTAAAGATAGATGTTATTTGTTACTGATATGCCTTGAAGTGCCGAAAATCCTTCAGTGAAATAGGAAATTATGTTGCTGAATGTAAGATTTCAAATAACTGTTATAATAAATCTTAAAGCTTTCAAAACAAGTTTTATTGAATGTGTAACATTAGTTATGGAACTTTGCAAGGCTGGAAGAGTCAATGTTGTTCTATATAGTCTTCACATGCTTTTTTAATCAAAAACTCAACATTTCTCATGACATGAATCTGATAGAAAATAATAAGCAAATGTGGGAAGTTTTTTAAAGCCATTACAATGCCTTATTCTCTATACACAGTAATTGAAATCTTTTGTGTTTCTAAGAATCCAAGCCTAGTTTAGACAATACCTTTTATACATATCTTTCATGTTTTATGAATTTCTATTCATGTAACATGAAGCCGATGTTCCTCTGAACCAATAGTGACAAATAAAAAGCCCCAGAGTTGGAATATGGTGTTAAGGCTTGTCAGCAGGATAGTTTTAAAGAGGTCTACAAAACATAAAAAGACAAACTTAATATTTCTGGCAGTCCTTCAAATATCACCTCAGGAGGGTAAATAGTAATGTTCTATATGAAGCCATTCGGTTTCAACGAAAGCTCATGTAAACTGAAGATCTCATCCCTTGAAATCTTTTGTTCATTCCTTTTTGGATACTATGTTCTTTGCTTCCTCTATATTGTGAGGATGATCTACTTATATTAATCCTTAATTCTCCTCATAAAGTTCAATTTTATCAAGTATTGTTTTATATACATTTTGGGAACAAAAACGTTTTCCTCACTCAAATACTCTTTGTTTTTGTTTGAAAGAAAGTTAATATGATTATAATCAAAGCATCATACATACAGATGAAAACAACATTCATATAAAAAACAGTATAGCTGTAACTGAAACATTATGAATGTGTTACATATTTACAATCCAGAATATAAATATAGTTTTTACAATTTGATATGGTGCATCAGCAAACTGCCAAACAAACATTTTGTCATACTTTGAATTAATTTTGTCACTACAGTATAGCACTAGTCATGTAACTAATATTTAAGTAATTTATACACAAACAGACTTACCTCCTAGAATATCTTATGAAATTTGATTTTGGAAAGAGATTTTTAATGTTTTTCATTTATAATATATAATGATACAGATTTTCATAATAATATTACAGAGTCATCTACAACAGTACATCAAGTTAACTGTGGTTTAATTCCAAGTTTCTACGTATGTTGATTACAATTTGAATTTACAAGATTATTATGGCAAGTTGACTGTGAAACAGGTCACAATTGCCTATTAGAGAAACACTTGTAGAAATATATTAGTGACTATACAATCTACTTATGCAGCTCAAGTGTGTAGAGGACGATTTTGAAAGTTTTGAAGACAAAAGGTAGAACACTTTCAAAATGTTGTCCTCTACACTTGAGCTGCATAAATAGATTGTATACCAATAGCCAGTTGCCACCCGTTTCACAGTCAACTCAATATGGATACTCTGTCTAAACTAACTATCAAAGAATTATTATGTTATAGCAGTTAGTGACAATTTTTCATTTATTTGCACCCAACAACTGTGTGATGATCTACAAGAGATGTTATGCTATAGGCTGTATGAAACTCAATTAATGAAAAATACAAATAACTTCAGTATTAAAACAGTTTATTAAAAAAACTAAAATCAACTTAAAAAATATGACTGGCTTGAATCCTCCAAAGTTATGGTCACCAAAAGTGATCTTCGTTCTTTTCTACTTCTCCTGCAAAATATTCTTCCATTCACTGTATCACCTATAAAAATCATGATGGTACTGTATTATATATTATTGGTTTTAATTCATAATGTTATACTGACCTTGGGGGAAAATAAATGCAAAGATATATGTTTTTTAAAATAAATATATTATCAGAAAGGGACTTAATTTAGTAAATGAAAAAAAAAAAAAGCCTTAAAAACAAAAATAAAAGTTTTGAAATACTGTAATTTCTATAAGTTGAAATAAAGATTGATACATATTGAGAAATGCTGAAACCAAAATTTTCTTAAAGTACATTTCAAAGAACTGTCAAGGGTAAAAAAAAAATAATCAAACTGTTTATCAGCTCACAAGGTTTTTACTAGTCAAGCACCTGTTTGTATCACAATATTTTACTAAAAATTGATCCATTATGTGTGTACCTATGTGTGATAGTATCCATCACCCAAAGCTGGCTGTCTTGATTAACTGTAATTTTTGGTACAGTAACTGGAAACTATCTAATGGTGTACCTAGGCTATTTTGTTTTAGGATTTCAGCCCAAGGAGGAGGTTAAAAAAGTTCCTGAAATAATGCAAATTTCTACTATTTTTTTTTTATAGACTTCAGGCTTTGAAATTAAAGACACTAGTACTTAACGAGTTAAATAAGTCAATTATTACCTTCCACAAAGCATGGTATGCAATAAAAGTCTAACATTTAATAACAAAAGAAAGAAAGAAGGGGGACACTGTCTTTTATTCAATTTTTGTTTCCTCAATGGGTGCCCTCAGCTAGTATTAAATAAAAAGGTTACAAGATACAATGATCAACTATTACAAGAAGATTGAATCTCTGTAATGTAAAATGTTTAGCTACGTACAAAATATTTGGTGGTAATTAATAAAGGAATCATAATTTCATTATTGAAATGGCTAAAACAAATGATTTAATTAAACTCATCTTCTAAAGAAAAAATTACAAAATCAGATCTAAAACAAAATAAGCAATCAATTCATATAAGACTTGTGCTTAAAATAAATATTAAGTAAGACACTTAGCCTTGTTACTGTGCATAAGCCTGATGAGGCTGAATCAGAGTGAAAAATAGGTCAATAAAATGTCTTATATATATTCAAATAGATAATGTTCTGCTGTAACTTACATAAATAATTTACACAGTTAAAGTCCACAATTTCTGAATAGGAACTTACACCTGTGACTTAACATAGACATACTTAGATATTCTTGGACATAAAATGTAAATACTAAGACTTCACAAAATTATAAAGTTTGTGAAAAACCAATTTTATACCATAACAGTTTCTTTTTAGTTAATTAATGTGCTGAACAATCAGTAATTGCTTTGTGATTCGCATATAAAAAAAAATTAACAAAATGTTAATAATTAATATACTTTTTTGTTTACAGACGATTTTAATTATATTTGGTTCCAAAAGATAGTTTACATGTTTATGTTTTCTAAATTATACCTGCCTGTAATTTTGGTCCAAGGTTGATTTAATTTGTTGTTACTTTATGTATTTACTACCTCATTATCAAATCAGTGTCTTTGCTTTTCAAACAATTAATAAGGACAGTAAGGCCTACTGTAAATATGGCCTAACAAACAGTGGCCTTGTTGGCAGAACAAAACATGATACACTTGAGTGCAAAATGATCTAATAAAGCCTAACAATTTTGAACCTAATCTTGTTCCTCAAAAACATTCTTTTCCTACCATACTGCAACATCATACTTCAAATGAAGTATAAAATGATAAACTTTTCTCAGTTTTTAAAAACCAATTAGGACCATAACTGTGACAGAATTTGTTCACAAATATTATTCTTCTAGCAATCCATGACAAAGCTAAATATTTATCACTTTGTTCCTTTTGCTACTCAAATTTCCACTGAATTGAAAGCCATATTAGCTTATACAATTGAAAAGATCTTTTGTCATATGTTTAGATCAATAGCCTATGACTTCTCAAAGCTGAGATATAGGCAATTTAAATAACATCACGAAAACCTAGGTTGAAAAAAGTGATTGTCTCAAATCAATAAAATTACACCTGTATTAAAGAATACAAGATTCAGATTAGAACTGTTATGTTAAAAAAACAGTTTCAACTTTCCTCCTAGAAGAATGCTAAATCAAAATTCAGAAATTTCACAAACGTTATAAATCTGTTCATAGCTCGCTACAATTTCCCAAAAATCAAAATTTTCTGATGTTTAAAAATACTGTGTAAAAAATTAAATAAACAAAACTTTTTATTTAATAAATTTCACTCCAGAAATATTTTAAAAAGTGTATGGAAAGACTGCAGTTTATTTTCTATAAAATTTGTAATTAAGTGGTGTAATTTTGCCATCAAGCACTAGGTGCACCATCTGGGTGAACTTTAACTACATATTTTTTTAACTCTTTGGAATACAGCTTAAATTAATTGTAATCAAGGTTAATATAGCTTAAAGCAAAAATAAATTAAATATAGAATTAAAGCAAAATGGTTAAAGTTTGTTTCCTTGTTGAAATGTTTGTAAAATATGAGTATGTACACATATATTTATTGGTAGAATAAAGCTTGATAACATTGATCTGCTCTCTACTTCTCTTTCTTATCACACCCATCCTTTTAAGTTCTATTTCCAGATTTTTGCCTTATAACTTCTGTACTTGTCTTATCACAGTGACTGTAAAAATCAAGTAGCAAAGGAGCATCTCAATAGATTCTCATACAATAAATCATTGGTATCTACAAAATAAGTCAAAATTCACATATCATTAGGAAACATGCATCTTGCAGCATATTATTAGCTTCAAACCAATACAGGTAAGTATTGTATGTTTTCCACTTTTATCCATAATGATTTGCCATGATGTAAAAATTGTAGGCTACCTGACTGTATGATTATTTTCATGGGCTACTAGCTCCCTTTTACTCATCTTGTACATTTTTTGCAACCAAGTCTTAAGATGCTATTAAAAACCGATTTGATGTTCACTCACCTTGTGTGACAGGTATTGGATCAGAAAGAAGGAACACTGTTTGTTTCCAGTGCGTGAGTGGTACCCATGGAGATGTGGACAGCTCCACCTATAAAATATTAATATTACAATCTGAAGCTATAAACAGGAAGCACACTAGAAATGTTATTACAAACTAAAACTATGTACAAAACAGTGACTTTGAAAAATGGAAAGTTCTATGCATCAAAAGGAAGAAATACAGCAAAATTACAAACATTATCATCAGTGTCAATGTATATTTATTTGTAAATTAAACTAAAAAGTTTAAATGTATTATGACTCTCTTAACAAATTTGTTGTGTGTGAAATTTTTTAGATAAATTTCTAATTATTTTTGTTATGTGGAATTCAGAAAAGAGCATCAAAGTAAGTAAAACAGTAAATACAAAATGAACCATAAAACATTACAACTAAACACTCCTGTACTCTATTGCAGTAGTTATAACTCTCAATGAGTTTAATAAAACACCACATGACACTGTAGTTTGAGATTCATTTTCTATTATTGTTGAGCTAATAAGGTACAACTTACAGAATGTTCCAGATCAAAAAAACAGTCAAAGTACCCAGCTACAGCTGTAATACCACCATTTTGATTTATTTTCAGTTGAAATTCTGAAGAAAATTCACAATCTTCAGGAGAGCAGGACATCAAATTGAGTTCCTAAACCAATAAATTAGATGATTCAAAATATTATCAACTATACATAGTCTAACAGAAAAAAAAACAAAAAACACTCACTCCAGAAAGAATGATGTTTTATCTAATAAAAAAATAAAAGGTACAAAATTACCAATAGTATTTAGTAGATCTGCCTTTTGCTATATTAAGGCAAAAATATGATTATACAATGCACATATAAAATCTGGAATCTAGACCTGTAGGATTGCACCTTCCTCCTGACAAAGAAACTGGAAAAGGGTGCCTCAAGAAATTGGTTGTTTGGAACAGACACTTTTGCAGGAAACTGTTAAGAATGGATCATGCATAATTGATAGGGTTCATATACAGTGACTGTAATCCCCTTACCATTGTTTAGTGTTTTAGACTGAATGGATGAGCAGTCCTATTTTGCATAAAAATGTTTTATTGCCTGGTAAGCTGGTCATTAGTGTAGCAAGTAGAAAGCTTTATTTGAGAATTGTGATGAACCAAGCAATAGCGAATCTCCCTTTGCATACCACCAGGTGTGGTCGTTCAACTGCCCACATCTAGCACCTCAAAACATAGCAAATACCAATGTATTTTATTGTGCCTTGCATGGAGTTCAACAAAAGTTTCTAGGAGAATAGTTGCCAAAGCCAAATGCATCCACTGTTGACAAGTTGTGCAAATCTGAATTCATCAGTTATGGGAACCTAGAAGGGTGTCATAGCATTCAGCAATGCCCATTGCTGTTAATGTACAATATTGCCTAGTGTGAGGAGTGGGTAATGTCTAGCTACTCTACCACCGAAGTTCATGCTACGAAGATAATTTTTGGATAGTACTGGAGACACCTGCACCTGTTCTGCAATAGTAACAGCTCTTTGACTGGAATTATTCCCCAAACAGTATTAAACATCTGTTCTGTTGGTGCATTATTAGCATATCTATCGTGTACTAAGGTACATTTGATAAGATGTTTGTTTTTTATTAAATTACCATTAACAAGTCACTGTAGTATATGTCATACTTAGGGCACACTCAATAGTGCTTTAATTTGACCTTGAATTAATTTTCAGAATTTTCCTTAGTTCAGACTAATTCTCCATATCCCATCAAAGTCTGGACCTATTTTCAGGAGCATTTAGTCATGTTTGTATAAGTTATCAGGAATATAAGACATTTCTATTGCATTTCTTTATTTTTATAATATGCAAATTAGCCACAGTGGTCATGTTACACAACATGTGCCAGAATATGTCTTTGTACCTATTTCAACATATTTTCATACAATATGATTTTTTCATAATGCACCTTCTAGTGTATGAAACTATCCAGTTTTGTGTTTACATTTCTTACATGTTCTGTGCATGATGTAAAAGTTGTTGAAAACTCTGTATCATACAAAGGTAATATATTATTACTATTTTACAGCTTTAACAACTGGTAAGCAAACGAAACCACAGCCCAATTTTCAATAACTTCTGATCAAAATAAAATAATCCCATAAATCAGAACTATAAGTTAACCTAATAAATACTCTAGCCAATTTAATATACTGGTTTCACTTACAAGTATTAGATGTTGTAAAACAAAAACTTATACCAAGTGGACAGCTTTCACTCATCAGCTGAGTCAGTGGCATCATGCCAATAGGGCTTACACCCCCAAATGCTTTCCACACTGTTTCAAAATATATGTGTTTACTTGAAATCAATAAGTTAATCAAAATAACAGCAGAAATTTAATAAGAAGAAAAGTAAAACACTCCACTTACTATTATTTGTATGACTTTTATTATCATTATTTGCCCTTTAGAGTTTATCCCTTAATTCTTTCTGCTAATTTACAGTAGTTAATTTAGTAACAATTACTTATGCAATGTGTTCGTGCATGATATCTGGTACTGGAAGAGGTCAGTAGCTGTTTTGTGGGTATTATTTATTTATTTATCTGCTATATGTGTCTTTTATTAATATAACCCGATTTGTATGTAACTGTATTAATTATAAACTTTATATTTATATAAATATGTAAAAAAAGAGAGTTGATGATATATGCTATAAGGGAAGGAATTTTGCTATTTGTCAGTCTTTTCAGAATTGTACTTCTTATTTAATATAAACCCTTATTTTATCAATAAAAGAGAACTGTGATGCTACTATGGGCCATCTTTGACTTACTAGTGTATTGCAAATAAAAAGGTACATATGGTGTATTAATCCAAGTCAACTTTATTGATGTTGTGGATTCTAACTGCTGTGCACCACTGATACATCCAAAGATGATAATAATAATAAAACATGAAAAAGCTTTTGCTTCAGATGGGTTCAAGAAGTGGAATAAGACAATGAAGACAGGAAGAGAACTAACATAGCCTAACAGCATGTAGAAAATTTTCAAAATGGCAATTGCTTTTGACATCATCAATGCCTATAAAACAGCTACCAGCACAATGGGCTAGGTAACCAGAATTAAAAACAAAAGGAAGGGAGAACAGGCAGAAGTCAGTACTCAGACTGGCACATACTGCAGCAACTCTTGACCATTTAAGTTTGCCATTTTGAATCCAAGGATCCAACCAATAAAGGTGTGTTTAGAGAGAAAGCCATATTAGTAGCATACAATGACTTATGATGTTGCTAGTGAGGTTAGAAGTAAAACCACTGAAGAAGTGAAATAGGCTTTATACTTTTCAATTTACTTAGACAGCTCCAGATTTTACCAGGAAAGATCAGCTGTCAGGTGTAAAATGGTATGTTCACACACAAGAAGAAATACAGGTGTTTCTGATTCACAATAAAAATAAACTAATGAAGTTTCCACTTTACCAAAACTCCAAAATCAATGTAACAAGATAGTCGGGGAGAAAATACAGTTGAAAAGTTTTGTGTTCAACAGTTGAGTCAGTCATAGCGAAATTACATGAAATTAAAGTTTTTAGTGCATTTAACAAAGAAGTATCTGGTACAGCCATGGCATTCAGTAAAGCTACTGAATTTTGATTTTTATCTGGTAGCATTCAGCAGAGTTCTTTCAGTGGTTTCCAAATATCTTCAGACAAGTGACATGGACATCAGTATAGCATGAAAAATTACTAAGGATTTCATATCTGAATTAAAGACTAAAATCAGATGAAACATTTCAAGTGTTGTGGATTAAATAGAACAGCCTGCTTCAAAAGTAAAAATAAAGCTTAGAAAAAGTTTCAAACATACTGAATCGCATGTGGCAAAATGAAACTGTACTTAGTTCAAAGAATGCAATCTGCACCAAATTATAATTTGCTACACTGTACCTATGCATTGAAAGCATCAATGAGAGGTTTACCAGTGAAGCAATGCCACTGCTAAAACATGTTTGTAGCTTGATATCTCTTTCACTTGAAAAAAAATTGGAAAACTGAGGCAGCTTATAACTTAATCTACAGGAGATGTTAATCTACACATGGCAGAGTAGGAATACAAACTTCTAACCTACAGACTTGATACAGAAGCACACAAGCTAAACCAAAGTACCTCTATATGTTTCTGAGCAAGAATTAGTTCACTAGATTCAGACAGCCAAATTACAAAGCTATAACAGCCAATCCTGACACTTCCAGTAATGAGAAAAGCTTCTCAGCTATAAAGTTTGTGAAAAGTTGTCTACAAACCACCATAACACAAGACCTCTTGAATGACTGAATGGCAATTGAAGTAGAATGAACTCAGTCAGTAGACCGAGAGTGTGAGCTTTAAGAGGTAACAAAAATATTATTGAATATTTATTTAGAGCAGTGAATTAAACTACATATAAATTTAGAATATCAGTACACACACTACAAATGTATTCAAATGCACTAAGTACCTACCGATGATAACAAAAGTACTTTGTTTTCTGACTGTACCTCTAAAACATTTAGCTGCATGATGACCCTGAGTTGAGTACAAAATTGCAACTGAGGACTTAGACTAAACTTAAAAAGATTCTACAGAATACACCGTAAAGTTAATATTTTACATGAAGGAAACCAGAAATTATCATTCTTTTTACCCCAGGTGTTGCTACATGTGAAAAGAAACAACATATTCAGTAAAAATATTCAAGTATTTAAATTATGCACATGACTAATCCAACACAACATCAATAATTAATATCTTAGTTTTAACCTAATTCACTATGAGTTGTATTATTATGAAATTGTTTGTTGTTAAGTGCATAGATACACTATGGGCCATCTGTGTTGTGCCCACTAGGGGTATCAAAACCTTGTTTTTAGCATTGTAAGCATACAGACTTACGGCTGAATCACTGTGAGGCTTTACTATGAATAAATCTTTCTGTTCACACACATAAATAAGTACAGTAAACTACTAAAAAACCAATAATCAACTGACATTTATATATATATATAACAAAAAGTTTATGACTAACCTTAACAACTGCAGGTTCACTACAGACTTTCTCTTTTCTGACTGATTCAATTGTAGCTTCCTTAATTACTTCCTTCTTCATGCAACTCATCTTAAAGTCATAAACATCTGTCCAAAACCTTACATATCTTTGGTAAAGGTCTGAAAGATAGAAAATACAAGAAAAAGTAACTTAAATCTACTTAATCTTAAAAATGCAATTTAACTTTCCCTACACATTTATAAACTTGGGTAAGAATTTAAATATCATTTATGTGACCAAGATTCAATGTGGTTAAAGTCTGCATTTCATTATACTTTTCATGATAATTTTGCTGAAGCACAGAAAAAATCAGTTATTTTTTCTTTTAAACACTTGAAATGGGAGAATTATACATAACACTATCAATGTACTGTACAGCTCTACAGAAAAGAAGGCTTTAAAAATTATGTAAATTTCCATGAAAGAAAATTTTCTGAGACTGATTTATCATGAAAATAAAAATCAACAATCAGAATAGAAAATAAATAAAAATATCAAAACCAATACCACAAATTTTGATTATATTAGGGAACATTTATACCTTCATCAGATAAAGCAATCAAGGAAATAGTACATCTATTTGGAAGTAGGGTGCCTCCCTTGATCAGGTATTTGTCTCTAGCATACAGTACCGTGTCTATCATTCCTTCAAAAAAAAGAAAGTAGCCCATCCACTCAGAGATCACAATGTCTACTTTCTCTATGGGGAGTTCTACATCTTCGAGACGCCCCTTTTTTAATATTACTTGGTTCTGAAGGTTGTTTTCCCTAGGAAATAAAATCCAATATTCTTTTTTCATATTTAATTTATTCAGAAAGAAAATACCTTTTAAAACTAATTTCAGCTTGTCTACAAAAAATTTTATTAAAAAATATCTTAAGTGTACTTAGTTTAAATTGTAACATGTAACTGTACCATCACATGTCACTAATTGTTTTCTTTCAGCTGGTGTTCCAAAATGCATAGATTACTAAAAACCATTTACCTTAAAGTATATATTTTATCTAACTCATTATAACAAATCCAACAGACAAATAATGCATAACTATTCTAACAAAGGCCACAAAAAAATGTAATCAGATACATGTGGCTATAACTATCCATTTAAAAGCTGACTTAATTTGAAGGCAAAAATAATATTTTCATTCTCTTCTTAACATCTTGTCAATTTATATATGCTTATTTTAATGTTTAAATCATCATATTGCATTGTCCTTGAATTGTGCTATTTAGTTTTGGAACCAATTCGGCACAAAACAGTATCAAAACTTTTACTATCTGTTATATGGATATATTCCTATACATGTTAATAATAATTAATTCATTTTTTTATGTATATTATCTAGAACTTCATATGCAAAAATTCATGCCTGTCTGATCTATTAACAACAGTTTTTAATCTTGTTACAAGAAAACAGATCTTTTTGATTTTCTAATTAATTTTTTTACTAAATTTTCAAAACTTGATCTCTTATTTATTCAAACTATAACCTCTCTGGTTATTCATTAACAATATATCATATTGTAATTTCAAGATTAAATCCCTACAATTAATTTAAGATTTTTAGATCATATCTCATTGTACTGCTTTTCTCCTGTTTTGTCCCTTAAATTTGATTTAGTTTATTTTTCTCAAATCCAAAATAGTTACTATAAAATAACGATCAGAATTTTTTTATTATATACAACAGCAGAAATCAGAAATACATTTATATGATCTTTGTTAAAACATTACCTCTAATTTACTTTGTAAACTCTGATCTGTGTGCAATATCTATATCCTGTAAAGATGTCTAAATAATTATCAATTCCAGTTTCATTAACATTTCTTATATTTATGTTCATGACTCTAATCAATAATAAATGTTTTTAGATTTTGGTTTATATTTACTCATTTTTGTAAGTTAACATTAAACTCATGTATATTAAAGCTTGGAGATCTATAAACAGCCAAAATATTTAGATTATTAAATACAAGTATGCTCATGATGTTAGAAAAACAGGTAGGTTCAAGAAGTCTTGATAGAAATCAATAAAAAACCCTATAACCTGAGCACTTTTGAAAGATGGACCATTCTTCTTCAGGGGCAAACTGGGGATCTAATCTAAATACCAGTATGCCTCTTCTATTATTATCATTGGTACAAACTGCATTATAACCTGAAACATAAGTTTCTAACAATATTAACACGTGCATACACTCTTAAATATAAAAATAATTATCAAATGATCTGAACTATTTTCCACACTTTTAATACTAAGGTTTACTACACAAAAGTTACAAAATGAACATGTAATATCAGATTTTTATCCTTTAACCAACATTAAACAATACAGTAAAACAGAAATTAAACATCCATAAGAAATTAATTCAAATATTATGCATGTTAAATATTTCTAAATAAAAAACAGATGTTGTTTTAGGAGTCAGAAATTTATCCTAAAAAAAAATCATCTTAATTTCATTTTGCTTTTATTATTCTACCTGATGATGTCAACAGCATGGTACACAACTTCTGATTGGTCAATGCCTACCACCTCTTTAGCCCCTGCAGAAGCAGCAAACATACACAAGATTCCAGTTCCACAACCGACATCAAGAACAATTTTGTTGCAGAAAAGATCACGATTATTGAAGATGGCATTTCGATATGCTTCTGTTCTTGCTTTGTCCTACATGTAAAAAAAGCACAAGTTGTTCAGAAACAGTGTTGTTTATGACTAAGTTTATTCTGTGTTACAGTCCAATGAATTATGATAGACATACAAACATACCAGGGTATTATACTAAATTTCATACATAAACTACTGTAATACAAAACCTTTAGCTTGGTTTGAAATATTGGTAAGCATTACGTACAAGTTTGTATTATAAACTCCATTTTCAACTTGGTTTAATATGATGGATCTCGTATACAACTGTAGACAAAATGAATATCATACAATGGCAATACAATCTACATCATAAAGACTATGTACTATGATAGCCATCATATACACATCAGGGTAACATACTAAAAATCGTACACATTTTAAAACTATATGATAGAAATCACACATCTATACATAATTCCAGAGTAATACAGTGAATAATAGATATACTTAAGTTAAACATGTGCTGTTTAAAAGAAACAGTTTTATTGAGGTGATAAACTGAAGACTGTAAATAATTTTTTTCTTAGTAAAAAAGAAAAAGCAAACTCTCTCTCTCATGCATAATAATTTATTTTTTGTAGATTACGATATCCACAGATTTCTACTGAAAATATCATTTTCTGCCATAACTGATTCTTAGGTCTTGTGACACAAGTAAGATCAATCAGAAACAGATGAAAATGATATCTGTAATTTAGATTTTCTATTACAACAATATTTTATAAAATAATTGAACTTAACATATCTTAATTGTTAAAACAATGCAACACCTGAGTTAAATATGTCTGAATTTGTTGGTTGTGTATGTGTCTATTATAAATATATCTTACATTGAACAGGTGGAGAATAAACCAAACAATCACCAAGACTGAGTATGAGCTCACCTGCAACATTTCATGATGTATGCTAAAATGAGAGTAAGAATCAAAGTAGGAACAATCTTCTTCTTCTTTTAGCAAACTGACACTCTTTTCCCAAACATCTGAAGGAGAAGTAGTAGCATGAGACTGTAGAAATGAATTCCTGACAGATAATCTATAAAATAATGACAAAATATCACATTTACTTAAAAAAAAAATTATAATAAGTTCCACACAAAAATTATGATGTAATTCACTGTAGAGAAACCATATATAAGAATAAAACAGGTACATACCTATATATTTCATAAAATGTTTATTCCACTAAGTTAAAACTTCCACTTTAGGACTCTTTCATCTTTCAAGTTAATGCTTTTATAAAACACACACACACAAAATCTAAAATATTTAGTGAAACACAAGATCAAAGTAATTTTATTCAACATTAAATAACTGATACACTTCAATGAACATTTAAACAATTCTATTCATAGAAATATTAAGTAAACACAATGTCATATTTTGCTTGCAACCGACATATTGCTTGAATGTGGCCACATTACCCATCACGTTTGACGTACATACAAAACACAGAAGTTTTTGACTTATCATTTTATACTTATAATAGTAAATCTAATACATTTACATTTAGGTTGAATACATCATAAAATACAATGGTTTGAGCAAAAACACTGATTATAGTTAAATACTAAATGAAAAAAACAAAACAACAACTGTATTATATCATATAGTGATAGGTCTGCTTTAATAAATCTACGTCATTGCTGATTGTAATCTTACACAAAAGAAGAAAAAAAAATCATTAATGTGAGGTTGGATGAGGTTGCAAAATCATCTGGATTTATTGAAGTAACCTTTAAACTTCAAGCAATAAAAATAAATATGAAGTTATATAAATGCTGTGTTTCATCTACCCAAAATAATTTTAATTAATTCAATTTATCAGCATACTATTAGGAAAACTATTCCATAAGTTAATAATTTACAAAAAAATAATCAATTCTGCTTGAAAAAATTTCAAATTTTGGGCTTCAAAAGCTTGTAGTTATTAGTTCTATTAATCAAATCGTCATTATAAATATCTTAACTCCAGAAATGGATAGAATAAAAATTCAAACAAGTACAGTTTTTTCTAACCATGAATGTTGAAAAAAACTTTTTCATTTTAAATTCTAGAGAATATGAATGTTACAATGATGTTCACAATTACAGTATTTCATCAAGTATAGACTGGCTATAAAGACTACTTTGCTATTGTTTTCTAAATATGAAGATTACAGCTATGTAATATTCTGTTCAAATACTAGAGTCTTTACTACAAGTTTCAAAGAGTCTCATATCTGAAGCTTGAGTCTATAACTAAAATATAAAAAATTTTGAATATATTTAAATTTTATATTATTTTCAAAGAGTCTAGAACTAAACAGAGATGAGGAGGACAACTGATAAGAGAGGCATGGAAGAGATCTGTTAGAACCCAAAAAAAGAAAAGGAGAATGGCTAAGAAAAAGATGGAATGTTGTCAATAAAGCTGCTTTGTAAACAGCAATTGTAGAAACTGACAGACTATTCTCAAAAACCAGGTTAAAAAAAAAGGAAGTGAGATGAGGAAGAGTAAGACAACCTGGAGGAGAGAGAGTAGTGAATGGACTATCAATAATAAATCATCCACTTGTGGTAATTAAAACTGCAAGCATGAATAGCTGATAACAATAAGCAAGATAATGGGCTACTCTTCAAGAAAAATCTGTGCATCTTGCAGGAGACTAGGCAAAAGCTAAATGTGACGATGAGGCACAGTGTGTTGAAAGATGGGTGTCTGAGACCTTCAAGTTCAAGAGATAGAGGCCCAAGGATCACCAAGAGGTGAAATAGCAGAAATCATGATTGAATTGGACAAAGAAAAGCAATAAGAATAACTTAGCATGGGATGCTGCAAATTAAAGACAGTACTCTGGAAAGAAGTTGAAAAGGGGGATAGGCATACAAGAAGACATGGAGTCTGGGACTGGTGCCCAAAAGAGTTGAAATCTTGGTGTAGCAGGAAGTCACAAATACATTGATAAAAAAACTCCCAAGATGGGAACAAGCCCACAGCAACAACAGGAGATGTAATGACCACACTGCTGGAAGGATTCAGTCTAGGTGAGACAGCAGATCTGCCACTAAATTCAGAGCTCCTAAAACATGTAGAAGTCCTGAGAGCAAGTAACTCCTAGTCGGTTGATACAAGAAACAACAGTGGAGATGAAAAAATTGATCAAAACAGGATGTCTGTAGATCTGTAAAAAAAAAATGGTGGCAGGTCCATTGAAATGCCACATTTCAAGGGTATTGATATTAAAAAAATGGCTCCAAAGTAAAACAAGCATAAAAATTGGTAGAGGTATCCAGAAACACACCTCACTGGTTAGAAAGATAATCATGAATGGTGTAAGTCTGGGTGGGGTAAAGTTGGATGCTCATACTAATAGAGAATCTTATTAAACCAATCAACTACACAAGTTAGCATCTATAACTCTTACTAATAGAGAATCTTATTCGTGAATATTGTCACAAGTTGACTAATACAATGCTTCAGCTAAACTCTTTCCTTCAAACAGGTGAAACTATGCAGAAAAACAGATACCTCATTTTCTCCACATCTTTTTGTAGATCTTCCAACTTGCTCTCTGCTAGTGAAAGTCTTTGTAACAGTTCCAAATATTTCTTCTTTGGTAAACTCACAAATTTTCCATCCAATGGTTCAGTAGTGTTGCACTTGTAATTACTTATAAAGTCTTCAAAATCTATTGGAATTGAGAGGTTAGAACACATTATTCATGAGTATGTCCTTCTGCTTGAAAACTAAATATCATGAAATAATACTTATAAAGTCAAATTCTATTAAACCTGGAAATTCTTTCTAACAAAAGTAATAATACAATTTTCAAAGTGACACTATTGGATAGAATTTAGTATATAATGTGTTCTTATGGCATACATTGAATATGATAATATATTTATACAGTTACACAGTGGGTTTTTAACTGAATTCTTTTGTAGCTGACAGATGTCTCAAAGATTTTATTGAAAAATAAGTAAATTTACTGCTAACATATTTAAACTGTAATGATTCATTTGTTATAAATTTTTACAATTTAAAAATACAATCGATAAGTTTTCCCAAGAAATAAGCGTCTTGGCTCTGCCAAATGCTATACTGCAATGCACAACTAAATCTTTTCTCCTTTAATAATAATTTCAACTTTATCTTAACAATCTATATCAAACATCCATGTGAGTCAAATTAATTAACATAAGTGTGTTGAATGGGGATACCCATATCCCCAAACACCCCAGTTGGGGTTTAGATGATGTTACCCAAGCCATTACAACTACAGAGACATTAATCCCTTCTACTGGATGCCTGAAATACATAACCTAATACTTGAATGAAGAAGACTTAGAAGATTATTTATGATAATATGTAATACTTCACTAAACCACAAATCAATTGGTGGCATGCACTAATTCAAAGAAATATCCTTTGAAAGTGGGTTTTCTTGGGGTGTTCCCCTCCCCACCTAATTACATGGCTTGTGGATTCAGTGATCTTAGCACCTAGGGATTGGACTTATAGATCCCAGTCATTCTGTGTCCCTGACTATGGGCTGTTTCCATTGTGATGGTTTGTTGATCATCGTCATCTTGCCCTTCTCATCTACCTGCCAGTGGCCATACTTTGGCCTTATGTAAGTATCTAAGTCAACGTTGGCTACAGTGGGTTAGAAGTGTCAACAAATGTGTTAAAACATTTCCAATCAGCCTTACTATGAGACTACTCTACATCTACTTCCTTAGGTTCAACACATATGAGGTCAAAACTGAAAGACTGGAGAGCAAGAACACAAAGTATATTAACATACATCTATATGTTAAAAATAGCTAAGATAGCCTACATTACAAAACAGAAATAGGTACCAGAATGATAAAGTAGGCAGTTTCATTCTTGTAAAGGAGAGGAGTATTGGCTGTGCAGTATGCAAATGCTAAATATTTTACTACCCTAAAATACATTTCTCATCTACAAATTTTATAATTTTTCTAAGTTCTCATATAGATCATTCTAAATCCCATTAAGATCATGTGTCAAATTTAGCCTGAGTTGTTACTTCTGGTAGCTTAACATGTAAAGGAACTTATCTACTGTTTCATGTGATAGGTTGTGTTCAGTCAGATCCTGTGTCTAGAGAAGTATTTTGTGACTGTCACATTGAAGAGAGATTTTGTTTTAGTGGAACTTTAGGCAGAGTAGACATAGTAGGTTTGAGGACTTAAGTGGACTGCAACTGCTTGATGAAAGAAAAGGAGACGATGTTTAGGCACCTATTCTAAGGCCTCAGTATAGGAGCCAAAATGTCATATTTTATTTCAACAGGAAATAGCAATCCATTAACATTCTCAGACCTACTCAACAAATATTTCTGCCTTTTAGTGCCTGTTTTCTGATTTATCTGCTGTGTAGAGAATGTGTATTGAGAATGCAGTTTGACGCTTTCAAGATTGAATTGATCAACTTCTGAGGAAATCAGTTTGTTCTTAGAGAGCAAGACTTACTGCAGAAATCCCATCTTTGTTTCATTGTATTTCTACCTGCTGATCATGAATACTGCAGTTCAATTCTTCTCATTTATTTACGTTTTATTCTTTTTTTTCTTTGCAATAGTTCTCCCACTTCAACGATATACTTTCTATTTTGCAACAAAACAATATTTTATTTTAATCTTCACTTTAACACTGTATCTTGCCTCTTTAATTTCACCTTCAACAAATCACTACACCTGACTGCACATGTATTAGATCTACAACCCTCTTGTTTTTGTGGAGATCAGGTGACCGTGAACTATCCTTGAATTACCACACTCATAACCTACAGCCCAGCAGATAAGAAATTAATAAGAAAGTACCTAAATGTTCAAAGACCATGATGTAGGCCAAAAACTGAGGACAGTGACACCTCCCATAGTGATGTATGCATTTTCTGACAAACATTACTAACAGTTTAAAATACAAATGAGTTGGGGTAAGCAGTAAAAACAAAAATTAACAAAGTGAAAGAAGCTCTAAATTTGAAACTTTCTACTTAGCCCATGCAAAACTCATTAATAATTGAAACAGTGCAAAGCATACAAATCAGTAATGTGAAAAGGGTACCTAGGCACATGAAACAATTGTAGCTTCAAAGTTACTTTTAGATGCTGCCGAGCAAATGCATATTTCCAGTTATGAAATCATCCAACACAAAAACTGAAACAACAAACGGAATAAATACAACATTTCACAAAGAGTTATTAAAATCTAATACAAGAGGCAAATGATCTTAAAGTCTTCAACTACAACAGAAGCAGACAACATGAAAGGCAAATAATAGTACCTCTCACATACCACTATTTAGGACACTGTGTTGTAAACTAACTTTAATTCAGGGCTGAACCTGGGATTACTTGCACACCAAGCAAATATTATACCAACTATACTAAAGGGATGACCCTCTAGCAATTTCTAGTAAATCATTTTTTTTAACAATTCACATCATCACATTCTTCCTCTCTCACAAACAAGGCCCATCTTTCAGCCTAATCTCATGGTTATGAGATGACCACATGTTGGATGCAAATTTTTCATTGGTTAAACAAGATTTTGCATCTTTTTGCCTCAGGACTGAGGATAAAACTTCTTGTGCAAGTACTACTCATATCTTTCACAAATTAAAAAAAGAAAACATTACATAATTTTTTTTCATTTACAATGATGAACAAAGTGGAACTGAAAAGTAACTACTTAGTTCATAGTTCAGCAACAGCATCAGACTTTCTCCGAGTTCATGTATCTGTAATTGTCCATGTCTATTCTATGTCCAATCAACAAGTATTTTCATCAATCTTGTGCAATCTTTATATCCTTTTATTCATACCCCAAAATGGCTTCCAGTTTCCCAAATGTAGGTTTGTTTACAATAACATGGTATTTCTTAAATAACGTTTCTGTGCTTGTCATCAGATATTCTGTTTAGTTTTGACGAAGGACAGATCTGAGTGTTCTGTAATATTTCCAGCAGACATAAATATTGAATTTTTTGGCCACATGTTTGATCTTCTCATTTTGGCTTTGCACATATGGTAAGTAAATAGTGTTGGACTTGTGTTTTCTGTCTGTTGTATCGATGCATATTTTCATGTTCTTCAAGCTACTGGCAATGAAACTAGAGGGATATTATATTTATGTGATGAATTGTAAGCTTCAGATCAGAGAAATTTACCTCTGAAATACTACAAGCCAAAAAAGTCACATTGTAAAGGGGATAGGAACAGATGAACATAAAAATAAACCGAACTACAAACAACAGGCAGGGAGATTATAATCTAGACTACGAAAAATATGGACCCAAGCAGAGTCAGAGTAGAATCTAAAACCAGAAAACAATTCACAGAACTAGATTCAAGAGAGAATGAGTTGAAAAGACCAGCCACATAAAAAGACTGGCCCTAAAGTTCATTCAGAAGAAAGGCATTATTCTCAGTAGGGCTTCTCTTCACCCATGATGCCCTTTAATTCAGGCACATACTTTTGTTTGATGAGCATTAATGGTGTACTGAATCAGTGGATCCAACAGAGGCATTCGCCCCTTCATCCATATTGAAAATGTCTAGTGAGTTACACAATCATGCAAATAGTGAGCATTGAGGAAAACTCGAGCAGTGTGAGAACAGTGAAATTGGAATATCAAAACATAAATAAATAAGAATAAAAACATTGATGATTCCCATCCTGGTTGAAGCTGAGACATCTAATGATAACAGTAGTCCCACTTCCAATATATCTAATGCCATGCAAGGATGTACACATGAAGCTGGGAAAAAAAAAAAAAAATATATATATATATGTACACACATAATCAAAAATTCTCAACCTCAGATACCCCTAAATTTCTGAACAGGGGTGTCACATGATATAGAAAACTTGGGTTGCTTAGAACAGCTGCAGAGGTTAAAGAACATGTGAGAGTCTTAATTAAACACACTGATGTAAATACAGATTCTTGAAATAAAAGTACACATTACCCAACAATGAAAATATATTTCTGATAGATACTCATCTCTTCTCACATCTAGTTTTCCCAATTCAGTGTTACCCTCTATATGTGAACTTTTTTGCTCACCACTAGCTTTGAAGCTCCCATCTAATCCCACATTTCCACATGATACTGCGGCATTTTTGCATGCAACAACCCTCCACCAACAGAATTACAACATCACCTCCTAGTGCAGCTGGCTTCCCCTATACTGATTGTTCAATCATCACTTCAAGATTAGGAAGAAAGTAAAATGCATCAGAAGTGAGAAGGAAAGGTGGAAAGTGTGAAAGGAGGTGAATAAATATCGAAAATAGGTTTTCAGTGTTGGAAAATGTTAATTTACAATATGATTTGTAACCTCTTCTCACATCTATCTAGAATTCTACATTAAAGTGGTGGAGATACAAGTGCAAAACTTTACCTAGTTGAGTACCTTCAGGAAATGCCCAAAATGAACCCATGCAGTATGACACCCTATACCTTGTAAAAGTATAGGGGCACACTTGTGGGAGACTGCACCTTGTCCATACCAGGGTACACTCATTGCCCAGAAAGGAAGAAAAGTGTCACAAGCAGAATCCAAAACTTGTATCAGGCTTTTAGAAGTACTATATGTGTAGTATGGCTAAGGTTTGTCAGATTGCACATGGTGGGTCAACTCCAGTCCAAAAC